CTACATAGCCTGCTTCTTTCAATTCATTTCTGCAATATCAATAACATGCAGCATGCAAGACAACATAGGCAATGCCAGGAACTTTAAAACCGAATTGAATTTCCCCAAGGAAAAAGTTCACCAACTAGGAAAGTAGCATCACAGATGGGAGTCCTAAGGCTTAGCTCTGCCAGCAAGTGTTGGCTCTGAAGGGATTAGAACACATGATCAGGGGAAGCATCCCTGAAACTACAAGGAAGTAAAAGGAGGCAGGAGTCCTAAGGCATTGACTGGAAGTGTGAGGAGCAGTAGGAAAGGCATTCCAGGCAAGAAGAGCAGAGGCTGGAATTGAGAGGTCGTCCTGATAGTAGGTACATAGCCAGGGGTGGACCATGAGGCTGGAAGGGAAGCCTGGGGGGGCCAGTGCAGAACTGTGAGCCTCAGATATTAGGCACATTCTCTGGTGGTCAGTGACACCACTGAAGATAATTAACTAGGCTAGGCAATGTTGTGGGAGAATAGGGCTGCCAGGGAAGCTCTCCTGGCTCTGCCATCATGAGCTATGGGACATTAAGCAAGTCATTTATCTTGCTGGGCCTCTTTGAAATAGGGATGCGAATAGAACCTTCCATTCGGGGTGGTTGCAGGGATCACATAGAGCTCTGGCATGAAGCATGATTTGGTAAATGTTAGTTCCTGGTTGGCCTCCTGGGTATTATCAGGCTACTAGTAGAGGTTAGGATAGCAAGAAGGAAAGACTTTCTGAAAGCAGGAGGAGCCACAGATATGGTGGTCCAAGTCCCCTGACCAGCCTGGAACCCCCCTAGTGACCTGGGAAGGAAGCAGAGCATTATTTGGTGGCAAAGAGCCCATGGCCTCTATATGTTTCCTGTCAGGGAAGGACTGAGTGTGCAGGTACATATGTCTAAATGGTCTGATGAGTAAGCCGTGAGGCAGGGATAAAATCCCCAGTCCTGACCACCCCACAGAGCATTCCTGCTGCCCCAGCTGGCCGCTTCCCCAGCTGAAATCCCCAGGCAGTGTTCACTTATCCAGACCCAGCTTGGATCCTCTCCTGCATGACCTTTGTCTTCTCATCTGAAATATCCAGCTCAGGAGCTCCTGAGTCTAGTGAGTACCAGGCCAGGGATTTAGCCTGGGGGCCACTTACCTGCAGGAAAGTATCATCAGAAGACAAGGCACTCTGGCACCTGCTCCAGCCACAAGCCTACTGGGTTGCTCAGCTCAAATGGCCTGCCCACCTCTCTAGGATAAAGTCATAAGATCCTTGAGAATGGGAAGGGGGATCATTTGATGGGTAGAAGCACAAGGTTGGGGTCTGATAGATAAACATTGCAATCTTGCATCCACCAGCTTTGTGTTGCAATCTTGGTTTCTTTATCTACAAATGAGGAACAATAGCACCTACTGGAGGAGACAGTTGAGAGAGTTGAATGAGGTATAAAGTATGTCATGCACTTGGTTGGTGCTAGGTCCTGCATATTTCAGGGGCTTAATAAATGGCACCTTTACTTCTCAGGAAGCATTTATTGAGCACTTGGTGGCTGCTGGGCCCTATCTCAAGCTCTGCTGATAGGAACAAAACCCTTAGGAAGCTTGCAGTCCATTGGAAGGAGACAGATAAGTAATCAGACAAGCTCAGCAGTGTAAGAAGCACAATGCTTGGAAGAACAGGATGTTTGGGGGGAACTGGGGAGATGGTGGGCAGGGGCAGAGCAGGAAAGGCCTTTTGGATGAGGAATTATCTAACGGAAGTATGAAGAGAAATCAGCCAGGTTTGGGGAGGGGCCAGGATGGAAAAAAGTGTTCCAAGCAGGGGAGAAGTCACTTGCTGTATGTTAGATCCTTAGGGCAGAGCTGGAGATAGGTGTCACTGCCCTAGAGACGCCTCAGTTTTTCTCCTCCGCCTTATCCCTGCTGCTCTGCAGGCCCAGGGATAACAGGTCTGGGGTGTTTGTCCACTGTGGCTTCCATCCCCGTACAGTGTGAGGCCTTGGGCTATGGTGGTTAATAGGGCCMGTGTCCTGACTCCTCAGCCTAAGAGAGGTCTCAGGGCCTCTCCCCAGGAGGGCAAGTTCCAACAAGGTGCCTGAGAATTATAGGTGAATGGAGGAGGAGCAGTCTGCTTGGAAGTGTGCCGCTCACTGCAGGGGGCACCAGAGCACTTGGGCTCCATGGGCAACCACAGTAGGGCTGAGCCCAGGGAAATTAACTGGGTCCTGTCCTCTGAACTCTCTCACCCTTCTCTCCTTTCCATTTTTTGATTTTGTTTTTTTTTCTTTTCTCTCTCTCTCTCTCTCTCTCTCTTTTGGTTCTGGGGATTGAACTCAGGGGCATTCTACCTCTGAGCCACATCCTCAGCCCTATTTTGTATTTTATTTAGAGGCAGGGTCTCATTGAGTTGCCTAGCACCTCGATTTTTTTTGCTAAGGCTGGCTTTGAATTTACGATCCTCTTGCCTCAGCCTCTTGAGCTGCTGGGATTACAGACATGTGCCACTGAATCCGGCTCCCTTCTCTCCTTTCTGCATAGACTAAGAATCTTCTCTGCCTTGGGAAAGGACTTTGACACATTTTCAAAATAAAGTTGAGAGTAATCTCCTGAGGGGAAGAATAAATAAGTTTTAAAAATGCAAAAGGAAATGTGTTATTTATTTATTTTTGATGGTGGAAAAAAATGCAGGGGAGGGCCTCAGCAGGCTCCCTTGAGTGAAAGTTTCCAGCCACAGTGACAGAAGGTCACAGAGACTTTAGGGAGATAGGGACACCTGGGGAGTGAGGGGTGGGCTCTGGTCCAGATTCAATATGAGTTCAGCTAAGAGGTAGGGCCAGGCTCAGTATGCCACTGTCAAGGATCAGTACAGCTGGGGGAGGGGACAGTGACAACACAGTCCTGAATCCTCCCTCCAGCTGAGGACAGCTCTGCTAGGGGAACCAGGCAGACAGCAAAGGCCCACTGGACAGGGGACCTGCCAAATGTCATAACAAAAAGTTATGACAAAACTTTTTTCATATCCAAAGAAGTGCAGAGAAGCTAGGAGGGGAGGGTTCACTGTGGAGTTGTGGGGGCCTCAGGGGGGTATGAGGGCCCCAGGCTGTGAGGAAGGTCTTCAAGGTGAAGGGTTAAGTTAGACTTTGAAGCTCAGCCAGGATTCAGTGAATGGAGATGGAACAGAGGCCTTCAGGGAGGGTGAATGGTATGAGCAGAGGTGCAAGATGGGAAATCCCATGGTACTTTGAGAAGTGGTGATGTGGGCTGGGGATGTGGCTCAAGCGGTAGTGCGCTTGCCTGGCATGCGTGCGGGCCAGGTTCGATCCTCAGCACCACATACCAACAAAGATGTTGTGTCCGCCGAGAACTAGAAAATAAATATTAAAAGTTCTCTCTCTCTCTCCTCTCTCACTCTCAAAAAAAAAAAAAAAAGAGAGAAATGGGGACGTTCAATTTTCTTAAACATTTATTTATTTACTTAACAGTCACATGCCATACAATTCACTCACTAAATGGGCAGTTTACAAAGTTGTAATAATCAATACCACAACCATTCATAGAACGATTAGAGAACATTTTCGTCACCCAAAAAGAAACCATGTACCCATTAACATTCACTCCTCACCCGCTTATTCCCCCTTATCCTAGGCAACTACAGATCTACTTTTTCTCTATGGATTTGCCTATTCTGTATTTTATATAAATAAAATTTTGTGATTTGTGACCTTTTGTGTTTGGTTTCTTTCACTTAGAATAATATTTTTTTTAAAAAAAAATTTGAAATTGTAGATGGACAGCATGCCTTTATTTTATCTGTTTCATTTTTATTTGGTGTTAAGGATAGAACCCAGCACCTAACACATGCTGCCACTGAGCTGTAGCCCCAGCCCTAGAATAATATTTGAAAGTATGGATCAGTACTTTATTCCTTTTTATTTGACTTGATTCATTTTTATGGTTGAATAATATACCTACATGAATACGATATGTGGTATGTGTTTATCACATTTTGTTTATCCATTAATTAGTCGGTGGACATTTTCCACTTTGGGGCTATTGGGAATATTGCTATGAACATTTGTGTACAGATTTTTGTATGGATGAATGTTTTCAGGACATTCCAGTTTGAGTGAAGTTTAGGACAGTTGTGGGGCAAGAGGAAGAAAAAGGATGAAGCTGAGGGACCTGCCCAACTGGTTCCTAGTCTGAGGGCGAGGGTGGGAGTGAGAAGGGTGGAATTTGGGACCCTGTTCTAGCGTCACTGGGAGCCAGGGGTGATTCAGGGCCCCAGCAGGGCTGCCTGGCTGCTCGCGGGCCTGCACTGTTGTGTCTGGACTGGTAGATATTTGCAGGGCTGGAAACAGTCTGGGGCAGTTGGTATTTTCCCTGGAAATCAGGTGCATTTTATCCTGTGACCTGCTGAGACCCAAAATTAGTTAAACACATGGAGAAGTATGGGCTGCACAGTTAGTCTGGGGGGAGGGGGGAGTCTTGTCAACAGGAAGCTGGCTGGCCCCAGGGAAAGAGGTGGTCAGGAAGCCCAAGGTCAATAAGCCAAATATAAACCACCACCAAGCCATGCTGCCCTGCCCCCATCGCACTTGCAGCAGAGGTGGCTTTGTTTATAGGAAATGCTGCCAGCATCTTGTTGACCCTTTCTGACAGATTGGGCAACAGAGACACTGCATTAAAGGAATCTGTCATTCAGAGAGAGGAAGGAAATTAAAGCTGAATTCTCTGGTCTGCTATGGGCATCTGGTTTGGTAAAACCCAGGCCTTGCCCTCAGCACTCTGCCTGTTTTTGAGCTCACAGAAGACTGAGGACACAAAAACAMGAGTTGTGCTATTTTAGTCTCCTAAAAAAGAACAACAAACTCCACCCCAAACTCCAAAGCAAAAACAAAAAACAGGGCTTTAATCACCATCTCTTCTTCCTTCCTTTTTTTTTTTTTTTTTGTTTTTCTTTCTTTTGTTCTCTTTCTCTCTCTCTCTTTTCTTTTGTTCTCCAGCCAGAAAACATTATGTTATTAGACAAGAATATTCCCATTCCACACATCAAGCTGATTGATTTTGGCCTGGCTCACGAAATAGAAGATGGAGTTGAATTTAAGAACATTTTTGGGACGCCAGAATTTGTTGGTAAGTTTTAGGCCTGTTTCTCTCCCAGAGAAGAATCAAAGTATAGAGAAGTCCTGGGAACAAAGCTTGAGTCTGAGGCTGTGGCCTCTGGGCTAAGAGAGAATGCTATGGGACACCCACTAGAAACCTATTGGGAATGGGGGCAGATATCTTGTTCGGGTCTGGGTGAGAGTCCAGGTGTAGGCTTTGAGCACCCAGTGGGACAGGGGGTGACCAGAGAGGAACTTCCAGAGTTGAATCTTCCCAGAACTGGCTCTACCTCTTGCTCTTAGATGAGTTTATCACATATATTTAAAATCACCTTGCTCTCTTGCATTCCCACAAACTCTGCCTTCCATGAAGTAGCTTTTGATTTCCTAAAAAAGAAAAAGACAATCGTTTTCAAAGTCCCAGATCCACCTACCTGCCTCTTTTGTGCCCACCTTTATTCATGCTTGTGGTACCTGGCTCCAACAGGATCCTGGCTGCCCTCTTCCTTCTGTATCTCTTTCCCTTGGTCCAGGCCCTACTTTCCTGTACTCCAGAAGCCCTTTCATGGGGCTTGGGCCAAAGGTTGGGGAATCACAAAGAAATAGTCCTGTAGAGAGGAAAGGAATGGGAGTTGAGAACCTACGTCTATCTTTCTGCTTCAGGGGTTGGAGAGGTCTTGGGGGTGGAGAGTTAGTGTGGTCTCCTCAAAACCTGGGAGCTAAAAATTCCTGACTACAATCTAATCAAAAAGGAAGGCAGGCTACGGGTGTAGCTCAGTGATAGAGCACTTGCCTAGCTGTTATGCTCGAATTTGGGACCCCCAAAAGACAACCAGAGGCTAAGATCAATATAAGCAGCAAAGAGGTGTTTATTGCGAGCTAGCTTGGTCCTCTGCACGCGCACGCGCGCGCGCACAGCAACTGGTGACGCTGAGAGGCCCTGAGCCCAGGGTTTGCAGCAGTTTTATACATTCTTTGGGGAAGGCAGGGACTTCACATACATCATAGCATCTCTTAGCAAATCATCACACACCAGGGAAAATCAAATAACAACTCTAAAACATGATTAGCACATTCATTGGCGGGAACAAGTTGGGTAGGGGTGATTGGTCAGTACAAAAGGGGTATTCATTTGAACTAATTGGTTTAAACCAAGAGGAGTGTTTGTGCTGAACTACATGGTTTTCCAACATGTTATCAACCACTAAAAGTACTGGGAGGGTCATCTGGCATCCCAGGTATTTCCCTGTCTCATGCTGATTGGTGGCTGCTAGGAGGTTGCTATGGGTCCCCACCTAGCCTGACAGAGTCAGAGACACCTGGTGCTGCAGATCTCTCCTGGTATTTGTAGATAAACAACTCAGCAGGGTGGGTAAGTGCCTAGGAGTGCTCTGTGGGTCTTTCCAAGGACAAAGGTCACGCCCCCTTCCTTGRATAGGCTTTGCTTTGAGGTAGAGGCTGGTTTTTCATAGCATGCAAGAGGCTGTGGGTTCAATCCCCAGTACCACCAAAAAAAAAAAAAAAAAAAAAGGTAAGAGAGAATATGTTAAACCTTCCACCCTGAAGGACTCCAGCCCTCATATACCAGCTACGCAGTCACTATGGAATGGTGCTGCAGAGACTCGCCCCTGGCTCCCCAGGTCCCAGGACAGGGAACCCTGACCATATGCCAGGCACCATGCCTCACACTCTGCAGACTTTGTCTTATTTAATCCTCAAGTGGCCTCATGAAGCAGATTAAATTATTTTCTCCATCAGGTGCCTTCTTTCAGAGAATACAAGCAGTAGGTGGTGGCAGTAGATTCAAATACTGATAAATCAGCATCAAAGCTGGTCTCTTTCTATTATACCAGGGTCACTCTGAGAAGACCCTGCTCTCAAGGAGTTTCCATTTAGTTGTGGATATAAGATAGTAAACCACTAAATAAAAGTGCTGGAAGGATCTTTTCAGATCATCTGGTCTAGTTAAACAAATGTGGAAATGGAGGATTGGGGAATTTTCATTAAGGAAACCAAAGTTGTTCTTTACCTCTGGTATGACAGATTTTAGGTAAGGTATGGGAAACACAGTGATGATAAGGAGCCAGCCACCTTCAAAATGACATATCCAAGGTCACCGGTTGGTGGGAGAGCCAATTGGAACCTGGGGAACAAGATATCTAGAATCAAACTTTGTCTAAGAGAACAGTTGCTGCCCACCATTCACATATGTGCTTGAAGGGCATATATTCATTGGTTAAGTTCATGTAAATTTTTCAATAATAGTCAGTCAATCAATAGTTCAACTAGAAATTCAGGGCTATAATGGAAGCCAGGATGTGATTAATTGTAAAGTAATACAGATAGCTCTGGAAGACTATTCAGAGAAGATATCCACTCTGGCACAGTCAATGGGATTGGTCATGGTCTTGAGTCAGTGAGGGGCAAAAACTGATGGTTGGGGGTGGGGAGAAGTCTGAAGTAGTTGGAAAAGAGAGCCAGAATAGAAGAGAAGGAGCACAGCCAGTTCAGTGATAGCATAGCAGGGGGGAAAGGCTAGAATAAGTGCTTTTATTAGGGACAGGTCAAAGTCCACTCTGCATAGAGTTGATTATTCATACCAGATTGTTGGTGTGAGTGGGATATTGGTAGCTGGAGCCAGACTTTGGAGGTTTTTGCCCAGTATGCAAATGTCTAACAACCAAATCTCAAAAATGAGTCTCTAACTTATAACATTAGCCAATTTCAAGCTACCAGCATGTCATTGAATACAGGGTCGGAAGAGATGCACACAGTTATTTCTTACGCCAGTATGGTTTTGTTTGTGATGGGTTTATTTGTATCTTATAGATTTATAGGGGGAATTTTCTAGGCCCTTCCCTGAAATAGGGTGACTTTATTTTCTCAAGACTCCTGAGAAACAGGTTATAAACACTTTGCCTTGCATCTATCATCCATTTGAAATTTCAACCTAAGACCCAGGAATAAAAAGTCTACAAAATCAGGAACAACTGCCAGTAGTTTGGGGGAATCAGGTATTAAAAAGGTCCTCTAAGTACATAACTGGATCCATGGAAGACATTTTCTTTTGAATACAATTTATAGGCAATAAGAGAGTTGTAAGCCCTTCAGCATGACCCACCCCCAGTGAATTGAACTTAGAGCTGAGCTTCAAGTAGCAAGAAAATTCAACAGGAATTTTCTTTTCTTCTGACCTCCCTTGAAGGCAAATGTACATGTCAACAATCCAATCAAAGGCTAGCAAGGTATAGATGTTCAAGGACAAAAGATAACTGAAATTACCAGATGATGACTATGAAATAAGTGGAATGTATACAGAAATAAAAGGTGGAACCACAAGAATGAGTAAGGAACACGAGGTGTCAAAAATGATCAAGCAAATTTTTGAAAGAACCAGAGAACTTTAAGAAATTCCATATATAGTCATGTGTCGCTGTCTGTCTTGGACTTTACTTTAGGAAGAGACCATAAAAATCAGCTACTCAAAAATGATCATAGTTTGGATGTCAAAGCAATGTCAAATTGCTGTAAGAGTCTCTAAATACATACTTCCAATTTCTGCACCTATCTTCTTGGACCTGTCTGCAGATTCTTTGTGGATCCCATGGTGAAGACCATGGTCCTAAGAAAGTTTTTCACATACTTACCCTGAGCCGGGAACAAAAAACGTTTTCAGCAATATTGTTCCAATAATGAAAGTAATGGAAACTATCCAAATGGTCTCTAAGAGGAGAATGACTGAAAAATGATACATAGTTACACAATGGTTTATTGCATAGTAGTGAAAGTGGAAGAGGTGGATGAATGTGCAATGAGCAGTAGAAGCATGTAAAAGGCAATCAAATGACAACAGATCACAAGCAGCATGACACCATTTTTTTTTTTAGAGAGAGGAGGGGGGGGAGAGAGAGAGAGAGAGAGAGAGAGAGAGAGAGAGAATTTATTTATTTATTTTAGTTCTCGGTGGACACAACATCTTTGTTTGTATGTGGTGCTGAGGATCGAACCCGGGCCGCATGCATGCCAGGCTACCGCTTGAGCCACATCCCCAGCCCCGACACCATTTTTATAAAGCTAAAAATAAGCAAAGCCAGGATAGTGATTATCTCAAAACAGGGGCAGTAGGAGAGTGGGAGGGCAGACATAACCCTGTAGATGGGATGCTTTAAGATATTTTCTAGATAGATTTAGCTTTTTCCACTCTGCCTCTGTCCTTCCTCCTCCTCAAGGTACTGCCTTCTCTTTTGCCTCCACTCATTGCCAACCTTTTAAAGAATCATCAATGCTCTATCTCCTCTTCCTACCTTCTGGAGACACTGGGTGCTGTGAGCTTGCAGCTCAGCACTCACTCTCCAGTGCTTATCTGCTCCATCTCCAGGCTGCCTATGGTCCTCTCCTCTCCTGGCAATCTTCTCTCCTACTCGACACCGGTCACCACAACATTGGCTCAGCTCTTCTTTCTTCCTGTCCTTCAATGACTCCAAATGTGATGGCCCAGACCTCCTCCCCCATAGCCATCTGCCCCCTGGACATCTTCCCTGGCTGCCCCTCAGGCATCTCAGGCTCAGCATCTCATCTTAGTGACCACAAAGATGCCCTCAGTGGGAGGTTCCTTCTTTTTGCCCAGACTCAGGAGAAGGTGGAGTCCTCTCTGCCTTCTTTTCTTCCCCATTTCCTTTCAGCAGCACTGACTGGCGTCCACTAGAGAGTTCTAGAGCCGAGCTCCATTTCTCCTTCCTCTCCCCTTGTTCCTTCTCCCTTTCAGGCATTCTTGCATGCTTTCTCTCTCCTTCACTATCAAGGCCTGCCTGTAGAAGGTTTCTACCAGAATAACAGGCACCTTGTGACATAGTCTGTCTGAGATGCTATTAAGAAATGCCTTAGACTTGGTAATTTATACACAACAGAAATTTAGCAATCATAGTCCTGGAGTCCGGGAAGTCTAAGATCAAGGTGCCAGCAGATTTAGTGTCTTGCCGTGTCCCCTCATAGCAGAAGGACTGAACAAGCTCCCTCAGGTTTCTTTGAAAGGGCACTAGTTCCATTCATGGGGGTCCTGCTTTCATGACCTCCTCACCTCCCAGGGGCCCCACCTCTTTTATCTACTTGCACCAGGGATTAGATTTCAACATGTGACCTTTGGGGAAACACAAATATTTGGGCCATACTTTTTCCCTAAAATTCTTAGATACAGATTATTTCCATCTGCTGCTCAGATTTTCCTAAGAGTTAGGATGAAGACATTTGGCAGCAGATTCCCTAGAATTCCCTACAACTATCTCCTCTCATTTATTTCTCCTCTTGACTTCTTTCAGCTCCAGAAATCGTGAACTATGAGCCCCTGGGGCTCGAGGCTGATATGTGGTAAGTTGTACAGATCACTCAGGTGGCCTAGGGATCCTTCCAAGGGCAGAAGTCCTCAGAACCTGCTTTCGGTGTCATTCCCTTGACTGTGAGAACTCTCTTCTCCATATTCACCTCTTAGAGCCTCAGGCTGCTCCAGGTGTTCTGCTGTTGCTGGAAGCAGCAAAGCCGGGTCCTGAGGCCAGTTAGTGTATGGCCAGGTCTTGGCTCGGTCAGCTGCAGAGAAGCAAGGGGAGGGGCAGGGCCGGAGTGCAGCTTAGCCTTGGCCTGCCACGGCCATGGTCAGGATAACAGTAACAGTGGCTCATTAGGGCAGTCTACCAAGTGTTTAACAAGTGCTTCCCTCATCCTGGGCACTGTGTTGGCCTAGGGGTGCTGCTGCTGTCAGTCCTCTGCACATGCAGGACTCTTTCATTTGAATGCTGCTGGACAGTAGGCTGAGCACTTGGCCTTTTAAAATCCTGCCTGCGGTCCTGTGAGATAGTTCTCATTATCCTCCTTATATAAGAAAAAAGGGTCTCAGAGGTGGAGAGAGTTGCGCCCAAATCACAGAACCTGCAAGTGCAGAGATCAGATCTTGAACTTGGGTCTTTGATCTCCATGTGCTGAGCTCAATCACTCTAAATGCATCCCAGGCTGCTGCTGAAGAGTGGGATGGAGAGGGGTTTGGGGATGCCTGGAGGAGGCAAGTGACCTCTTCTCCCGGGACCACATGGGGAGTCCCTTGCTGGTCTGAGTTGGAGGCATGAGGTCCTTACWTGACTGTTTTCTGTTTTGCAGGAGCATCGGTGTCATCACCTATATCCTGTGAGTATCCCTGATTCTGGGGCTCCATCCCAGCATAGACTGTGGGGTCCTAAGAGGAATGAGAGAGGGGCAGGTAGAAAGATGTACTGAGCATCCATCTACCATGTGTTAAGTCCACAGAGCAGACCTGAGACTGAGTGCTCTGAGGTGTTTCATACATTTAACCCTGGCATTGAGTTTGAGCAGGAAGCCCTGGGAGCAGCCCTCCCTCCTGCACAGGCAATGTCTGCATTCCTGTGTGGAGTGCCAGGCCTCCCCTGCCATGGGAATGTAGGGGTTAAATAAGCCAACTTGTGCCAATTCCCTAGTCCCTGCTCTGGCGCATGCATGGCAGGTGCTTAAGTATTCAGTCCATCAGTGCTACCCAATCATCTTCCCCTCTCAGCATACCTGGAAAATGCTATTTTTATGGCCCACTGCAGTGAGAATCAGCCCATAGCCAGAGGGAACAGGGTGGTACCAGTGCTCCAGGACTGAGGGATCATTCTCTCTAAGCCCCCATAAACCAGCTTTCTGACTCACAGCAGCACTTAGACTGCACAATAACAGTGGATTCCCCCAAGCTGCAGCAGAGGGTCTCAACCCTGGCTGCACAGTCGAGTTTTCAATACCTACCAGGGGCCAGGCTCACCCCAGATCTATATAAATTAAAATTGCTAGGGGTAGGACCTCTGCATCAGTGAATTTTTAAAAACCTAGTTGAATTTGATAGAGAGGGCTTTGATGGAAAGAGAGGCTGAGCATCACTTTACGTTGATCTGTAATACTGGATGACAGCCAGGATATTCAAACGTCGTCTCTTGAAATCTGAGTTTCTCCAGAGCTCCAGTTCTCACACTGAACAATTAAAGAATTCCAGCGTCTGCAGGGCACACAGTTGGCTCACTTGAATTCAACACAGCTTTATCGTTGGCTGGCACCATCATGGGCATTGTGCCAGGCACTCAGGACGTGGACGTGAAGGAGAGCCTTCCTTTCTTGCCTGGGGCTCTCTGTCTGAGGGAAGCACACCATAGAGCTACCTCTCACCCACAGTGACCAAGGTCACTTCTTCATGTCAATTATGTGAGGTAGAGGCTGTCATTTTCTTCATTTTACAAATCAGGAAACTGAAGCTCAGAGAAGTTAAAGAACTTACCATGGTTCACACAGCTAATGCTTAGCACAGCTGAAATTCAAACCCAACATTGAAATATCCAAAAATACAAAAAATTATTTCTTGCTCCTAAATCTATGCATATTTTCTATTCTTTTCTTGTCTTATTGTTTTATTGTCTAATATCTGTAGTACTAGATTGAATACCAGTAATGAAAGGGAACATTCCTGCCTTACTTCCAATTTTATAGGGAAATCATCAATCTATTTATAATTATAAATATGTTACATACATAATGTAATATTCTTTGTCAATTGAGGATTTTTCAATTGATAAATTCTTTATTATTCTTATCAATTGAGTATTCCTCTATTACTATTTTCTGATAATTATTTTTTATCATGAATAACACTGGTAACACTGGATTTACTGGATTTTGTATAGTATTTTTGTATAATTTGAAATGATCTCTGTTTTTTTTTTTTTTTTAGTTTATTGTTTTAATGGATTACTTAATTGCATTTTGAGTCTTAAACATCCCTGGCATATTTGGAATAAATGTCACTTTATCATGGTGTAAAAAAAAAAATATCCAAAGTTTTCCAGTATGCCTTGCTACTTCTATGCAAAGAAAGAAGCAGGGGGAGAGGGGTAAATATTCAAGGTTTGTTTAGTAAACAGAAACAGTAAGACTTTTCGCCAATCAAGTAAGGAGGGACTTAAAAGAGACCAAGGTGACTGTTGTGTTTCTAACAAGCATCACTTCACATTTGTGAAGCAATGTCATTGATCAAAGCAAGGAACACATGGAGGGGGGTTTGGCACAGTGAGTCCTGGGAAAATGGCACATCTGGGCCGACGTGTCCCATGAGCAACTGAAATGCATGTCAAGAGATGGTAGCTTCAGAAGTCACTGTTTATCTGATGCAGCCTTGAACAACCCTGTAGGGACCCCACAGACCCCAGTCTCCATGGCTCTGAGGATTTGCTCAAGTTGCTCCCTTGGCCTGAAAGAGCTTTTCTTCTCCTCCTCCGACTGCTGTCAATTCTTCAAGACATGACAGTGCAATTGTCAACTCTCCCATGGAATTGCACTGGGGTCCCCCTTTTTTTGGTGCTCCCACAGTCTTTTATCTGGCTTTCAATAATTTTCTGCTTTGTTCTGCTGGGGTTTATGAAGAGCTRTGTCTGTTTTTTCTTTTTTCTCCTCTCAACTTTTGTGTCCACTAAGACACAGTTTGTCCTCTGTAAAGTACTTACTAGGAGTTCCATAAAATGTGTTGAATTGGACTGCATTGAAAAAGCTGTGGGTTGGCTGCCCAGAGAGGGCAGGCTGTGTTGCCAGGAGCCTCCCAGCCTTGTGCCATAGCATGGGTCAAGTTTTGCCGAGTCCATTTCCATCTCCAAACCCGCAGTCATGTGGTTCCTTCTCTGTTGTATGCAGCCTCAGTGGAGCATCCCCTTTTCTGGGAGAAACAAAGCAGGAAACACTGGCAAATATCACAGCAGTGAGTTATGACTTTGATGAGGAATTCTTCAGCCAGACTAGCGAATTGGCCAAGGACTTCATTCGGAAGCTTCTGGTTAAAGAGACCCGGTAAGAAAAAAAGAAAGGCACTGGTTTCTCAGGTACTAATCCTCTCCTTTTACCACTGTCAAAGATGTCAGTCTGTCTTTGCTTTGCCACAGTGTCACCTGCACCATTGTGGTCTAATCTAAGCAGGTGCTAAGAAATATGACTGGCCAAGACTTGACATTCACCTTGTTTGCTCAAGTCTTTCTTTCTTCTACTGAAATGTCAATAACTGTGTGTATATGTGAAAATGTGTGTGTGTGTGTATGTGTATGTGTAAATCAGTCTTTGTTTTTTAAGACTCATTACCTTGTATAGTCGGTCCCMAAAGCACTCAATTAGAGAAATAAAGTAGCAGGGCTTTCAAGCCAGTTCAGGTGGGAGTGGAGGAGGCAGGCCCAGAGAGGTCAGTACAGTGGAAAGAGAGGAGACACGCTAATCCTACTCCTGCCTCAGAGCCCAGAATGAGCCCCATATCTGTGGGGTCAAAGGAGGACATGGGCAGGGAATGTAGGGTGCTGGTACCCAGGGGAGGGCCTGGATGGAGCAGGGGAAAAGGGCCACCGATGCTAGAAAATTATGTCCTTTTGGTCCCACAGACTTCAAAGAGGGCCAGAGTGGTACTAGGTACAAAGGTCAGTACTAGGGAGGGCCCCCCTACCTGGGAACAGAGCAGTGAAGGACAAAGGAGGGACCTGGGAGGCAAACAAAGACCAAAGGTTTAGCAATGGAGAGCTGGCTTTTGGAGGATTCTGGAGCATTTAATGACTCCCCTAGAGGGTGGTGTTAGGCCTTTCAACTTTGGAACTGAAGGTGAGGGTTCAGGTAGAAAGGTCTCTCYGTTTGGGTTCTGCTCAAACCTCTTTCCTGGGAGCATGGGGCATGCAGGCAGTTCCCATCCATCTCTGCATCTTCCATTATGATGGCATGGCCAAAGAATGCCAAAAGAGCATGAAAATGGAGACTGCTGCTCGCAGATTCTGCCCTAAAGGATCATCACTGTTTCCTAATCCTCATTTCAGGAAACGGCTCACCATCCAAGAGGCTCTCAGGCATCCCTGGATCACGGTAAGGACACGGGGGTGAGTTCCAGTGAGCAGGGGTCTTTGCTCTGTCACCAGGGCTGGCTGTGGCAGCCAGATGCAGAAGGCCTGTGGAGAGCCTTTTGCTGGAAACACCAATCCTTGGGCACAGAAGACAGCTTGTCAGGGGCCCCAAGGGGCCTGACCATTTTCAAATAGGGTTATGCCAAATGAAGTTTGTATTTCATGGGTTCAAACAGCTTATAGAATGAAACCTTCTTCTCTGACATTTGGGGCTCAAAGGATATGCTTTACATCAGTTAGCTGYTTTCCACAGGCACCATGAGACCTCAGGAATTAGCCTCTGAGACACAAGCCTGGTGGGAAAAGAGACTGYCATCCTGTTAGGGGAGTTCTGTTCCCTTTGGGAAGGGCCAGGGGGAAAGGTCAATCTCTCTCTAACTTGCCTTGTAACCAAGCTCCARCTACTGGTTTTTCAGAGGGTCTCACAGTCTGGTATAGTGAAAAGCTTTTTGGGAAAGAGGGACTTATAAACCAGTATTCTGTTGACTGACTAGCTGTGAACTTCCAAGACTTCTTATTCACCTTCATTGTTAAAGAAAAAGGCTTACAGGAATGATCTGAGCGTGCAGACAAGAAGGGTAGAGGCCTATAGATGATGGGGAGTAGGGAGGGTTGGAGTGATAAGGGAGATCAGGTTCATCTGCTTGTTGAAGGATGGGGAAGATCAAGGGTTCTCCTGCTGAGCATGCTCAGTTTTGCCAAGATGCAAGGAACCCCAAAAGAGAGACACCCTCTGCCTCCCTCTGCCTCCCTCTGCCAGCCATGGCCTTGCCTGATCCAGCCCTGGAGTGGATATCTACAGAATCCTGACCGCAGCCCGCTTTTCTGCCTGAGCCCCTTTAAATGCTGTGCGTGTGGAATCCCTCTAATGGCTGTGGACCCCTCCGCCCTGAAGCGAGCATGCAAGGAGCATCCCCATACCCTTTGACCTTTCTTATGGACTGAGGGGTTGCTCACTCCACCCGGGCTCTCCCTATGTCCTGACGCATGCAGTGAATGCCAAAGAGACCACCGTGTGTGCTTTCCACCTGCAGCTTGGATTGCCCTCTGGAGCATGCATTATGTTAACATTGTGGTTCTTCTGTCTGAACATCTGCCAGTCGAAGGGAGAAGTCAGAGCTCCTGAGCAGCGGAAGACACAACCCATTGAGCTGAAGACCAAGCGTCTAAGAGAGTATACCCTCAAATGCCACTCAAGCATGCCCCCCAACAACACTTATGTCAACTTTGAGCGTTTCGCCCATGTGGTAGAAGATATGGCTGGGGTGGACCAGGGATATCATGCCTTAGTGGGGGCCCGTGACACTCTCCAGGATGATGTGGAAACCCTGGTCTCCATCTACAATGAGAAGGAGACTTGGTACCGAGAGGAGAACGAGAGCGCCCGGCACAATCTGTCCCAGCTCAGGTATGAGTTCCGCAAGTTGAAGTCCTTAAAGAAGCTCCTGCGAGAAGACATCCAGGCCACAGGGGCTAGCATTGGAGGTGTGGCCAGGAAACTGGACCATCTGCAGACACAATTTGAGGCTCTGAGGCAGGAGCTCTCAGCYGACCTACAGTGGATACAGGAAATGATGGGCAGCTTCCAGTTAGAGAGTGGGGACACAGATGGCCTGGGAGCCATGTTCCACCAGGATGCCAGTGAATCCCTATCGGAGCTGCCCCGCAGACCACACACAGAGGAAGTCCTCGCCAGCCTGAAGCTCTGAGCACTAGAATCCAGTCAATAAAGCACTTTCCCATTCCCCTGCCTCTGCTTCCAGCTAGAATCATCCTGTAGGGAGTATATCTGTAGGGCAGCTTTCCACCCCTCTCCAGAGAATTGACAGTTGCCGAGGTGCTGGTTAATTATTAATTCCACACCTCCTCTCACCAACCTGGATTTCTCAGAGAGCGATGGCAGAGCAGCCAAGCTGTTAAAACAATTAAGAGAACAAATTCCCCTCACCATACCCTTTTCCACAGGGAGTGAAGTACTCCTTGGGGAGATGCTTGAGAATGGATTTGTGGTGATGGGTTTGTTCGCCTCTCTCTTCCCACYTACATGCCTTATGATTGCAGATCTTGAGTGATATTTGAGTTAACTAAGGATAACTAAGTCAGCATAGTGCTTTCCTGCTACAGAAGCAAGAATTTAAAATGCAYAGAGAAAATAACACTACCTTTTGTTTGAACTGACTTTTCACTTAAGGAGCCCTTATGTCTGTGACCTCACTTGATCCTTAAAGAACTCTTTGAGATGGGAAAGTAGGAGATGATATGATTTCTATGTAACTGATGAGGAAACTGAGAGGGAGGATGGTGTAGGATTATTCATAGCCAGTTGATGCCAATGAAACAGGAACCCAGGTGCTCGTCTCCAAGATGAAGCATATGGGAGGAAGTAGTGAGGCTTAGTTGTAAATATCCACCTTAATATTAAAGTTTAGATCCCAGAGGCCAAGCAAGCAACTTCATGTATTTTCCCAGGTGTGGGTGGAATGCATACACTTGTACACGATTGTCCCAGGAGCCATGTCCCAGACGGTGTAGTCACTGTTCCTACCCAGCCCTGTCCAGGTCTGAAGACCAACCTGCAAAGCAGGAGGAAAGGGGAGCATCTCCCTCTTCTCCAYTTTTTCCTCCAACTTATGGCTAAGTGCCCCAACTGTGCATTGATAACGAGAACCAAAAGGGGCTCAACCAAGAACTTCCTTTCCTATGTACTAAGCCACTGGGCCTTGACAGTCTACTAGACTCCATCAGAATTTTTGAAGAGGATGGACAGGAAGACTGGGAAGCACAAAGCTTAGTGACTCCTTCATGACACAAAGCTTTGAGCATCCCTCTTGARGATTATGTGATCTCATCCCCTTTTCCTCAAAGGAGGAGGCAGTCAACATAATCATAAAATCATACAGTCAGTGCAGGGAGATGGACGTGGCCCTGCTAGAARTTTTGGGTTRGGGAGTGGACCAATTAAAGAGTTTCAAAGTGCCTTCATGGCTTCACAAAACATCCCTGTCATTTGGATTGGATATTATCCCCGGTTTAGAGATGAGGAAACAGAGGATGTGATTTTTCTCCAGGTCACATCATTAATGACAAAATAGGGGCCTTCTGATGGCAATCTGTGGCTCTTTCTGCTTCTTCTAAATGCCCCAGTCTCTAGGAGTTTACTGTCTGCAGGTGGAGGCAGATGATATCCAGATTCATYTGTCCATTCAAAAAATAACTTTCAGGCATCTACCAACTTCCAGACACATGGCTTGACTGATGATACATGGTTGAGTARAAAACAGGCCTGTCTCTTGCCTCGTGTCTCTTCTGTCCTCTGAAGGATTCCAACATTAACCAAGAATCATTAAAATGTAGAACCGTGGCTGGGACACATGCTAAGAAAGGGAAGCATTCCTCAATGCAAGAACCKATGGTGGGGCCTTTGATCTGGTCAGAGGAGGTGTCTGTCCCAAAAGCAGGGATGCTGGAACTGAGACCAGCTAAGCAAACGAGGGAGAGAAGTGTTTCCAACAGGGCCATCATGTCAGGGCTCTGTAATGAGTAGGGCATGGAAGACCGGAAGTGCCAGGACAGTAAGAAAGCTARAGGGGAGAACAGGAATGTCTACATGGCTGGGGAGGAGGCAGGACCAGGAGGTCCTTGGCCACATTAAAGAACTCTGCCTTGCTAGGCATGGTGGCACATGCCTGTAGTCCCAGCAATTTGTGAGGCCGAGACAAGAGAATCACAAGTTCAAAACACCAGCCTCAACAATTTCGTGAGGCCCTAAGCAAATCAGCAAGATCCTGTCTCAAAATAAAAAAAAGCTCTGCCTTTGTCCCTGGAGTCATGGGAAGCCACTRACAACTCCTGGGCTGGTGTTAGAGGGGAAACACTCAGACAGGAAGTGAGTTAGGACAACACATATTTTGATGTCATGAAATCATTTCTTCAAAATCCTATCTCCTTTTCTTTTAGCAAGCTGAATTATTTCAAATATCATATAATACTTGAAACAGAATCTTTTCATCAAATATAAGAAATAATAATAACAATAATAATAATAATTATTATTATTATTATTTTGTACCAGGGATTGAACCCAGGGGTGTTTAACCACTGAGCCACATCTCCAGTCCTTTTTTATATTTTATTTAGAGACCAGGTCTTGATGAGTTACTCAGGGCTTCACTGCTGAGGCAGGCTTTGAACTTGAGATCCTTCTGCTCAGCCTCCTGAGCCACTGAGATTATAGGTGTACACTGATGTGCCTGGCTAAGAAACCATGATTATAAGATGTTATCATTGTTTTATGTACCATTAAAAAATAAAAATTCCCAACATGGGAAGCCTAATGGGAGAGTCTTAGACACATAAAGTTGTGATAAARTAATGATAGGGTAAATGAGAACTAGAGCTGCTATGAAGGAAGAGAGAGCAAAAAAAATACATCTCATTCTGGACAATATGTGGGGATGGAAAATCCTCCTGAGAATGGGAGGCCCAGGCTGCTAGTCCTCATGCAGGGTTCCTCTTTGCCACAAGCTGTGTGATATTGAAGAACTTCAAGTATGGAATGTCATGGCCAACAGTCTGAGGCTGGGTGGCCCCACATGACCAGCCAGTGCAATCCTCTCTGGGAGCATCYGCCTCTACTCCAGGGCCACAGCAATGATATGACATTGTTGACTGGGAGATGCCTCCTCATTTCTGAGATCCAAAAACATGCATCTTGGAATCAAGGAAAGATGACAAAAACCCTATTTCTCTACCTGAGAGAATTGGTACTAAATGACCTCTACAATCTCTCCAAAGACTTCTCTGCCCTGTCACAGGATGTTGTATACTTGTTTGGCATAGATTCTGCAAATATTAAAGGTCTCTTTGGCCACGTTAACAGGCATTGACYTTCAATGCCAGGCTTCCTGAGGCCAGGATGACTGCCAGTTGAGCAACAYAGGGCAGACTTCTGGTGAACGTCAG